AGAAAGAAGGAGAGAAAGAAAGAAGGAGAGAAAGAGGAAGGTTGGACACAGCAACACGTGGCAGGTACAGCTAGTAACATATAAATATTAAAATAAATATAGCGTCCCTACTTTGCGGATTTTCACTTTTTGTGGGTGGTCCTGGAACGTAACACCCACAATAAGTGAGGGAACACTGTACCTCAAATGCACAAGCCTACTCTGTATTAATTCATGTTGCGTGTAGTGTACTAATTTTTTTCCTTTTTCCTCCATCTATGGATCTGAATTTTCTCCATGTTATGAAAGACCCTGGAGACTAGAGATGACCATCTGTTTGTAACTTTTGAGACTGGTCTGGACTGGAATTTCTCCTGCCTGTTCTTCTAACTGTGGGTATACTCACCTTGGGATATCTACAAGCATTCAATAAAGCTTTGTAAGCAGGAATGAAGATCATACAACCTGCATTTGAGCCAAGGTTCTCGAAGGATAAAGCGAGGAGCTGAATTCTGAGCTTTTTGGTGAAGAAGTTGGGCGTCAATGTCACAAATACATAAAATCAAATAAAACTCAAATATATTTAGCAGTTCATCCCCTAGAAGGTAGCATTAAACACAACAACAAATAAATAAATAACACAGCAACAAGAGATAACGCTGAAGATTTCAGGTTTGGATCGAGGCTATGTGTTACCCACAGAGGGAATGTAAATTTCAATTAAATTCTTCTCTTTACGGTGTGCCGCTCTTGTTGTTATCATAGATAGACAGATAAATATACCTGCTATTTCAACCCTAAAGGAATATATTGGGGTAGGGGGAACTTTTGCTGTTCGCAGCTTATCTCTGAAATACAGAACATTATCTTTGTTACAATCAGATGTTTTCTTACAAATCCAAGGCTAAGCAAGTTAATCAAGACTTTGAACACTGGGTTTTTTTTTCACTTCCTTGACGGATTATTTTCTGGACCTCATATATAGGGATGGTGAATGTTGGTCCAGGCATAGACCTTGATAGGATGACAAGCAAATGCACAAACCTAGTCTCTCATGAAATGATGAATGACAGCTTTTCATGGGATGGTAAGTGATGACCCATGGACATACATGCAATGATAAATGAGAGCACATAGACCCTCCTGAGATGTTAAGCAATGGCACAAACATATAACCAATGGTTATAGAACCAATCTGGATCTTTGGTGGTCTCATTCCTTTATTCTGTGCCCTGGTGCTTATAGTCTAAGAGTCATAATACAAAAGGAGAAAGGAGCACCAAGACAAGAGGAAAAGAAGCATATCTAAGTACCACGTATCCAAGTACAGTAGAGTTTCGCTTATCCATCCTTTGCTCATCCAATATTCTATATTATTTGTTTATTTGTTTGTTTGTTTGACTTGTATACCGCCACTCCCAATTTGGCTCGGAGCGGTTTACAGCAGTAGATTAAAACAATACAATTAACTTTAAAATACAATAAAAACAAGAACAGACATAGTCCCGAGTTATTCACCCATCGAAAGCTTGTCGGAAGAGAAAGGTTTTACAGGCTTTCCGAAAAGCAAGTAGGTTTCGGATAGATCGGGTTTCAACTGGCAAGGCATTCCATAAATAAGGGGCTACAATCGAGAAGGCTCTCTGCCTAGTAGAGGACAGATGATAAGTCCGGATGTTGGGGACTTCAAGCAAATTTTGGTCTTCGGACCAAAGTAATCTCTGGGGTTGGTAGGGGGATAAGCGGGCCCTCAGGTACACCAGACCCAGACCATATAATGCCTTAAAGGTTAGTACCAACATCTTGAAAGTAATCCAGTACTCAATCGGTAGCCAGTGCAGCTGTTGTAGAATTGGGGTGATACGACACCTTGCCGGCACCCCGGCGAGAAGACAAGCCGCCGCATTTTGCACCAGCTTCAGTTTCCGGATCACTGACAAAGGAAGGCCAATGTAGAGGGTGTTACAGTAGTCAAGGCTTGAGATGACCGTCACCTGGATCACCATAGCCAGGTCGTTCCTAGATAGGTAGGGAGCCAGTCGCCTAGCCTGACGTAGGTGGAAAAACGCAGATCTGCTCACAGCAGAGACCTGGGCCTCCATTGTGAGCAGAGGGTCCAATAAGACACCAAGACTTTTTACAGAAGGTAATCCAGGATAGACAGCTGGATCTCCCTCCCACCCGGATGGCCCAGCCAAAGGATCTCCGTCTTCGCTGGATTCACCCTCAACCTGCTGGCATGCAACCATCCAGTAACGGCCTCAAGGCACTGATGGAAATTTTCGGGTACAGAGTCCGGCCGGCCCTCCATCCTCAGAATGAGCTGAGTGTCATCAGCGTACTGGTGGCACTCAAGCCCAAAGTCAGGCAAGAGGTCGCATATAGATGTTAAATAATAGTTATCCAACGCAGTCTGCCTCCTGCTCGGATCCATAGCTGTTTCAATACATTGCAATGTTTTGGTGTTCTGGTGCTAACTTTGTAAATGCAGTAATTAATACTGTATATTCTGGCGTATAAGACTACTTTTAAACCCAAGAAAATCTTCTCAAAAGTCAGGGGTCATCTTATACGTGGGAGTCATCTTATACACAGGAGTAGTCTTATACGCTGGAGTAGCCTTATGCATGGGAGTCGTCTTATAAGCAGGCGTAGTCTTATACGCCGGGAGTCGTCTCAAACTTCCAATCCAGATTGGAGAATCTGTGGTTGCTGCACAGGAAAAGACTATTAAACCTCAAATTACGTTATGATTTTACAAATTAAGCACCAAATTTTCATGTTTTACAACAAATCAACAGAAAAAGCAGTTCAAGACACGGTAACATTATGTACTGTATATTCCGGCATATAAGACGAATAGGCGTATAAGACGACCCCCAACTTTTTCCGTTAAAATATAGAGTTTGGGATATACTCACCGTATAAGACTACCCCTCTTCCAACGCACACCAAATAAAATTTTTAAAAGCATCAGATTTGATTTCAATATGGTATTTTTCCTATTACTGTACCTCCTTCTCTGCCTCTCAGATCTCGCACATGCGCACCTGCACTACTACACTGCAGTCTTCAGGAGAAAGGTCTGAGAGGCAGAGGAGGAGGTACGGTAATAGGATACAAGGGCAGGCCACACAGGTAAAAGAGTTGTGTTTTTCTGGGCCCAGAGCTACTCTATCTCTTTTTTACATACCCCGGGCACCCCGGATGCATGCAGCTTGCTCTGCCCTTCACTTACACTTTCCCGGTGAGGTGCCACTTCACCTCATGCCACAACCCCTTGATACAGTTCCTCATGGTGTGGTGACCCCCAACCGTAATATTATTTTTGTTGCTACTTCATAACTGTCGTTTTGCTACAGTTATGAATTGTAATGTAAATATCTGATATGCAGGATGTATTTTCATTCACTGGACTGAATTTGGCACAAATACCAGATACACTCAAACTTGAATGATGATGGGTTTGGGGGGAAATAGACCTTGACATTTGGGAATTGTAGTTGCTGGGATTTATAAGTAAAGATTTTCTCCTGACATTAAGTCCAGTCATGTCCAACTCTGGGGATTGGTGCTCATCTCCATTTCTAAGCCGAAGAGCCAGTGTTGTCCATAGTTCCCTCCAAGGTCATGTGGCCAGCATGACTGCAAGGAGCGCTGTTACCTTCCCGCTTGAGCGGTACCTATTAGGGCTGGGCGGTTTCGTTTCGTTAATTCGTAATTCGTTAATAATTCGTAATTTTTTTCAATTACAAAACGATAACGAACCATTCTGGAGCAATTTTTTTTAAAAACGAATTTTTAAACACGTTTTGTAAATGCTTCGTATTTCGTTATTGTATTCGTTTCGTTATTGTTCTGAGGTCGTTTCGTTATTATTTCCGCATGTCTGGGGCAAGTTTTTTGTTTAATTAGTGAAAAAAAATTATAATATCACACCAACAGTCAACAACAGAGGGAGAGGGAAGCTTCAGAAGTTTTTGGAGGTTTTTTAGCGTATTTCGCGGTCGCGTCCGCCATTAACGAATCGATTCGTTATTGTTTCGGAAATCGATTCGTTAATTTTTTACCATTTACGAAATTTCGTAAATATCGAACTTTTTAAAAGGAAAATTTTGTAATTATTTTAAATATCGAAACAAAAAAACCCCCCCAAATACAAATCGATTTTAGAAAAAAAAAATTCCGTTGTTACCCAGGCCTAGTACCTATTGATCTACTCACACTTGCATGTTTTTGAACTGCTAGGTTGGCGGAAGCTGGGGCTGACAGTGGAAGCTCACACTGCTCCCCAGATTCAAACCTGCAACCAAGTCAACAAGTTTTAGCAGCTCAACAGTTTAACCCACTGCTCCACTGGGGGCTCCGGTGTTTATAGTTCACCTATAATCAAAAAGGAATTAAAGAGCAAAACTCAAACAATGATGGATCTGGACCAAATGATAGAATTGGGCCAGACTTCCTACACAGAACCCCCATGACTAACAGAAAATACTGTGTTTTCTGATGGTCTTTGGCGACCCCTCTGACACCCCCTCACGACCCCCACAGGGGTCCTGATCCCCAGGTTGAGAAACACTGTCCTAGAGACAAAAATCAGATTAAGGGGACAGAGCTAATAAATGTCTCTAGCAAACAGAAATTTATTTATATATTTCTTTCAAACATTTCTACCCCGCCCTTACAATTGGCAATGATTCAATGCTGCATCATAAAATACAGAATACAGAATAACAAATATAACAGTTACCATGAACATTAATAAATAAAGATTAAAAYAGTATAYTTACACTCTGATTAGCTATTGCCCGTCTGGCGGCTGTTTAGCTAGCCATCTACTAATGAATACTCCGCTTMACTTATCCAAATCCTCTTCCATGCCATAGTCAACATTATCAMTTGTCCTTTAACCTGATTGCCCGAAGGCCTGGTCCCACAGCCATGTTTTAACCTTTTTTCTAAAGGTGAGGGGGGATGATGATAATCTAATTTCCCCGAGGAGCAAATTCCATAGGCGGGGGGCCRCCACCRAGAAGGCCCTGTCCCTCATCCCCACCAAGCGTGTTTGAGWCAAGGGCGGGGCCGAGAGCACGGCCTCCCCAGATGATCTTAAGCTCTGAGGTGGGACRTAGAAGGAGATATGTTCAGACAGGTACGCTGGATCGAAGCCGTATAGGGTTTTATAGGTCAAGACCAGCACTTTGAATTGGATCAGCAGCCAGTGGAGCTGGCACAGCAGGGGGGTGGTATGCTCCTTGTTTGATGCTCCAGTGAGTAATCTAGCTGCCTTTCAGAACACAAAAACAACAATACATGGTCAACATATGGTTGCACTATATAACTGGCTCAGCATTGCAGGACAAAAGATGTAAGTTTGGATCCTTTTAATAGTTCAGTCCAGAGTAGATCCACTGAACCCATTGTTGAGAGTCAACACTTATGTAAATCCCATTGATTCAATAGATATGGTCTAGCTGCAGAATCCTAGTTGGTTAACATTAGCTTCAATTCATCTTCAGTCCAAGTTTTGCCCTCAAGCAAAGCTGACTTCAACTGCCTGAGGAACATGTGTCGATTCAGTTCCCGATCCCGCCACACCAAATAAGTGTTCTTCCGTAAGTAGCGGAACAAGCCCAGTTTCTGCCGCACAACGGCATTGTCCACACCTTCTAGAACAACTAAAACCAGGCTGGCCTTCCTGTCCAGGAGCTGCCAAGACTGGGCCACTTCCAGTTCAAAGTTACACCAGCGACTCTCAAGGAAGTGCGGGGAGATTACCGCAATGACTTTGCGGCTGCTCTGGAAGCCCTCCTTGATAATGTTGGTGATGATGGAAACTCCAGGAACAAAGTCACGATAGTAGAGACAGAGGCGAAAGCGAGGCACTCCAACCTCTAGTGTCTCTTCCAGCTCCCGTGTCACCCATTCCTGGTCCTCACTGGAGTAGATGACAAAGGCATCGTAAATATTTTCCTTCTCAGTTGAAACGTGGTCTCTTTTGAGCAACACCACCATATAATACAGATGGAAATAATACTTGTAAACCAGGACCGCAAATAAGATCAGAACTAGGAAGGTGGTAACTAAAACAGCTACTGTGGTTTTACTGATTTGACAAGAGGACAGGTCAAAATCCATCAGGCGGGTATCCTTTAAGTCCATGGGGCTATGGCAAACCATGCATTTGGCATGCTTAAGGAGCTCCTTCGGCTTTTTTGTCCACCTTAAAAAAGGCACATGAGCACAGGAACAATCAAAAAGATTCCAAGAGAGATCCAAGTACTTCAGACGAGTAGGCAAGTTCTCAAGAACCTGCTCTGTAATAGTAGCTAAGTGATTGCCGTGCAGATCCAATGTGGTGAGGGAACGAAGATACAGAAAGACTTCAGCATCAAGGCTTAGTAAGTTGTTATGGCTGATGTTGAGTTCACGGAGTTCATGGAGGTGAGCAAAGGCAATGGGTGTGATACGCCTGAGTTGGCAACTGGAAATATCCAAAATGTGTAGCTTGGTGAGGTTCTTGAAGTTGCCTACCAATTCATCGCTCCCAAAGGAGTTACCGGACATTTTCAGAACTCTCAGGTTGTCCAAGCCACAAAAGGAGCATTCAGTTACTATGCAGATATCGGTGTGAGAAATATCAAGGTAGAAGAGGTTTCCAAGGCACAAAAAAGAGGGAAAGGCTCCTGTTTTGCCAAGTTTTGTATGTTGCAAATCCAAATATTCTAGTTTGGAGACCCCAGAACACTCTGGGGGGAATGTAATTTTAGAGTTGAAGCTCAGATTCAGATGTTTCAAATTTGGAAGCCCTTCCATGAGGGATGACCACCCAAAGGAGACAACAAGGCCATTCTCACTGAGATCCAGGACCTCAAGGTTTTGTGGACCATTGAAGTCCTCTGCAAATCGAGTGAGGTATCTTTCACTCTTGGTGATGCGGAGCACTCTTAGCTCTTTTAAAGAAGACAGGCTCTCAGCAGGGACACTTCTCAACCTGCAGTTCTTCAGTTCAAGGTGGTGTATGCTGGAATTTTCTGGGAATTGTGACACTTGTTCAATGTCGGTGTTCACCAACCTCACTGAGTGGATGTTGTTCAAGCAATCTGAGAGCCTGTCAGTATGGTAAATACGAGATATTTGCACAAGAGCAATCTCCTGCAAGCACATATGACAGAGTCCATCCAAATGAGCTTTGTTGATGTCCTCCAGCCTGTCAGCATTCCTATATGCTCCTAATACTAGACGGTTGGCGTGTAAGCCAGACAGATTCTGGAGGCTAGCTTGCATATGGGCACTGCTCTCAAAGCAGCCTCTCAAGGATAGTTCTTGAAAATATACCCCCGAAAAACTGTTTAGTTCAATGTATTTAATGGCGTTCTTGGACAGAACTAGTGTAAGGTTCCTGCTTTGAAAGCCATCAAGGTCTCCTGCAGAAATAGCTGAGATCTTGTTTGACTGGAAGCTCAAAAACCGGAGAACGATCAGTTGGGAGAAGTATTCTGGAAGTCTCAAGGAAGTTATGCGATTGTTGCTCAGATTCAGCTCTTGGAGAGCAGTCAAATGCCCAATGGGCAAGCTGTCCAGCCCGGACACGTGAGTTTCTACAACTATTAGTTTTTGCAAGGACATCAGGTCATGAAATGCTCTTGGACTCAAGAACTGGAGAGGATTGGCAGTCAGGATCAAGACTGAAAGGTTATAGAGACCCATAAAAGCATCGTCTTCAATTCGCTGGATGCCACACCTAATGGAGAAGAAGACAAAAGATTCTGGAGGACGAGCCCTTGTACAATGACAGAAAGAAAGCCACCAAAACCTTTCCTCGGAGAAGGGGCACCTAACCTCTTATCAAATCAAGTCTGACGCCTCTGAAATTCATCTATGTTGCTCTTATCTGATTCCACTAAGATTGGAAGAATGAAAAAAAGGAAAGAAAGGTCACTAGTGTCCTTCTTGAGAAGCCAACTCTTCAAGACATTGCCTTTTATATAGCAGCCACAAGACTGAGGAATGTAATAGACTTAAAAACCTGTGACATAATTTTTCTTGCTTCCCTTTGCCACTTTTTTTAGATTGTACAACTAAAGACAGATACTGTCTTGTCTTTGGTTTACGATGGAAGCAATTCGTGGAGACTTTCCAGATACTCTCTATCTATTTCCAGATGAATACTGTCTAATTCAGGAGTCCTCAAACTTTTTAAACAGAGGGCCAGGTCACAATCCCTCAAACTGTTAGAGGGTCAGATTATATTGTCGAAGGCTTTCATGGTCGGAATCACTGGGTTGTTGTAGGTTTTTTCGGGCTATATGGCCATGGTCTAGAGGCATTCTCTCCTGACGTTTCGCCTGCATCTATGGCAAGCATCTTCAGAGGTAGTGAGGTCTGTTGGAAATTGGACAATGGGTTTATATATCTGTGGAATGATCAGGGTGAGACAAAGGACTCTTGTCTGCTGGAGCTAGGTGTGAATTATTATTATTATTATTATTATTATTATTATTATTATTTACTTTACTTATATACCGCTGTTCTCAGCCCGAAGGTGACTCACAGCGATTCACAACTAACAGAACAGTAGAAATTCAATGCCAGATATAAAACAGTTAACAATACCGCGCAGCACACAATTAATAAACACTTATTACAATAATAATGTTTCAACTGATCACCAACAAATGCGTTCAGCAAAGGACAAGAGGGATCCTCTCGCTTCTGCAGGAGTCTACCGTATACCACGCAGCTGTGGACAAGTCTACATTGGGACCACCAAATGCAGCATTGCCCAGACACGAATAAATGAACATGAAAGGCACTGCAGACTACTTCAACCACAGAAGTCAGTCATAGCAGAGCACCTGATGAACCAACCTGGACACAACATATTATTTGAGAACACAGAAATGCTGGACCACTCTCACAACCACCATGTCAGACTACACAGAGAAGCCATTGAAATCCACAAGCATGTGGACAATTTCAACAAAAAGGAGGAAACCATGAAAATCAACAAAATCTGGCTACCAGCATTAAAAAACTCTAAAATTAGAACAGCACAACAACAGAGAGGAAACAAACAAGGACATCTAATTACCTCTCAACAAAAGATTGCTCCAGGCACTGCCAGGCAATCAAATGCTAATTAAGGTGATCAGTTGAAACATTCACACCTAGCTCCAGCAGACAAGAGCCCTTTGTCTCACCCTGGTCCTTCCACAGATATATAAACCCTTTTTCCTATTTCCAACAGACCTCACTACCTCTGAGGATGCTTGCCATAGATGCAGGCGAAACGTCAGGAGAGAATGCATCTATACCATGGCCATATAGCCCGAAAAATCCTACAACAACCCAATAACAACAACAGAGTAAAATAATAAACTCGAGTATAAGCCGAGGGGGACTTTTTCAGCCTAAAAAAGTGCTGAAAAACTAGGCTTATACTCAAGTATAATCTTTGTTGTATGTTCTTTATCTATTATTGTTATTATTATTATTATTATTATTATTATTATTATTATTRTTGTTGTTGTTGTATTGTCGAAGGCTTTCATGGCCGGAATCACTGGGTTGTTGTAGGGTTTTTTGGGCTATATGGCCATGGCCTGGAGGCATTCTCTCCTGACGTTTCACCTGCATCTATGACAAGCATCCTCAGAGGTGAGGTCAGTAACTCTGAGGATGCTTGCCATAGATACAGGCGAAGCGTCAGGAGAGAATGCGTCTAGACCAGTGGTTCTCAACCTGGGGGTTGGGACCCCTGAGGGGGTCGCTAGGGATTGTTAGAGGGGTCGCCAAACAYCATCAGAAAACACAGTATGTTGTGTTGGTCATGGGGGTTCTGAGTGGGAAGTTTGGGCCAACTCTATCATTGATAGGGTTCAGAAWGCTCTTTGATGGTAGGTGAACTATAAATCCCAGCAACTACAACTCCCAAATGTCAAGATCTATTTTCCCCAAACACCACATTTGGGCATATTGARTATTTGTGCCAAGTTAGGTYCARATCCATCATTGTTTGAGTCCACAGTGCTCTCTGGATCTAGGTGAACTACAACTCCCAAACTCAAGGTCAGTGCCCACCAAACCCTTCCAGTATTTTCTGTTGGTCRTGGGACTTCTGTGTGCCAAGTTTGGTTAAATTYCATCGTTGGTGGAGTTCAGAAAGCTCTCTGATTTTAGGTGAACTATAAATCCCAGCAACTACAAATCCCAATTGACAAAATCAACCCCTCGCCCAACCCCACTAGTATTCAAATTTGGGTGTATTGTTTATATGTGCCAAATTTGGTCCAGTGAATGAAAATACATTCTGCATATTGGATATTTACATTACAATTCGTAACAGTAGCAAATTTACAGTTATGAAGCAACAACGAAAATAATATTATGGTTGGGGGTCACCACAACATGAGGATCTGTATTAAGGGGTCGCAGCGTTAGGAAGGTTGAGAAACACTGGTCTAGACCATGGCCATATAGTCCGAAAAAACCTACAACAACCCGGTCGGATTATAATTTGGAAAAAAAATGAGTAAATTCCTATGCACACTGCACAAACCTTATTTGTAGTGCAAAAAACACTTTAAAAATACAATAATTAAAATGAACAATTTTAACAAATATAAAATTATTAGTATTTCAATGAGAAGTGTGGACCTGCTTTTGGCTGATGAGATAGGATTGTTGTTGTTGTTGTTGTTGTTGTGTGCTTTCAAGTTGTTTCAGACTTAGGTTGACCCTGAGTGAGGGCCGGGTAAATGACCTTGGAGGGCCGTATTCGGCCCCCGGGCCTTAGTTTGTGGACCCCTGGTCTAATCTATCTAGTCCTAAGAGACTGAACCATCTTAAGCAAGACCCAACTTGATCTCACAAAGCCTGACACCTCAGAGGTGAAAGTGTTAAAAGCGATGCCGTTTGCATTTAGTAGATATCCATTTTTTCCAGGATGCTCTACTAAGACCAGAGATGCTTCCACATAGGCTGCCTGGTGGCATTAGAGATTAAATATAACCCCATCTTACCTGGTGAGGTCCAAAAATCTCAGTGCAGGGACGAGTGAGAAATAATTGAAAGTCAAAATCTCGAGTAGGTTGAAGCTTAGATCCAAGTTTTCAGTAGTGTTTGGAAGGCCTGGTGGGATTCCACTGAGGTTCAACTCCATGCATCTGTATATGCTACCTGGGATCACCTGGAATGGAACAAGACAGCTTTATGGTTGTCCTCCAAGGTATTTTTCAAAGACCAAACTTCCCACCTGACATGCAGATAAAATCAGAAGAAACAGTGGTTCCCAACTTCTTTTTGACCAGAGCAATCACTTCTGTTTTAGTAATGCATACAGAAGACAAACTTGATCATTGTTCATGATTTATTGACGGGACCACTTGACCATCGACCACTTGGACTAGGGACCTCTCTCCAATATTAGTACCAAAAGGGTGACAAATCAGTTTTTGGTCAACTATAGATTCAGTTTGGTTCTTTGGGGTGCTGATTCAGAAAATTTCATTGGATAGACCACATCAGCTCTAGTTTCTGGTACAGAACATATGCCATCCAATAGTCGCCATCTGCTCACCTTGGCACTATCAGAGGTTCCGTGAGACCAGTCACTTTCGTTGCAATAATGTAGTAATGGGATACCATGGATCATATTTAAGTTCTTGTGGACCATTGGTGGTCCACAGACCATGGGTTGGGAACCACTGGTCCAAATGAATAGACTTAAAATCCCAGGTGATATAGTTTTGCCATTTTATACCATCTGATGTGGGCCCCCACTGAATGTAAAATCAGGCTATGACATAGAGGTGAATCCTGAATATCAAGAGTAGGCCTAGTGAAATAATTGGGTTACATATTAGTTAAGACCGACATAAGATCACTACTGACCAAAAGGTCATGAGTTCCTGCATATGTCATCAGTTGGGGATCCCTCCCCGCAGCACCAACTTCTGCTCTGGGCCAGAGTGAAGAGAGAGGGGGCCAGGGGACAGTTCCACCTTGTCTCCTGTGCTATTCTAATAATATAATATAATATAATATAATATAATATAATATAATATAATGTAATATAAAATAATATATTGTATATACATATAATATTTATAATATTATAATAGGTTTTTTTCATGCTCAAATCATGCATATAATATTTATAATATTATAATGTAATGCAATATAATACTAATAATAATATGTTATGATTATATATTTATATTACATGTAATATTACTAATAATAGTACAATATAACGGTATAGTACAATATAGTAATATTTAATATTGATATTGTACTATGCTAATAATATAACAGCACAACAACAGAGAGGAAATGAACAAGGACATCTAATCACTAGGGCTGGGCGGTTTTGTTTCGTTAATTCGTAATTCGTTAATAATTCGTTAATTTTTCAATTACAAAACGATAACGAACCATTCTGGAGCAATTATTAAAAAAACGAATTTTCAAAAACGTTTTGTAAATGCTTCGTATTTCGATATTGTATTCGTTTCGTTATTGTTTTGAGGTCGTTTCGTTATTATTTCCGCATGTCTGGGCCAGTTTTATGGTTTAATTAGTGAAAAAAAATTATAATATCACACCAACAGTCAACAACAGAGGGAGAGGGAAGCTTCAGAAGGTTTTGGAGGTTTTTTAGCGTATTTCGCGGTCGCGTCCGCCATTAACGAATCGATTCGTTATTGTTTCGGAAATCGATTCGTTAATTTTTTACCATTTACGAAATTTCGTAAATATCGAACTTTTTAAAAGGAAAATTTTGTAATTATTTTAAATATCGAAACAAAAAAACCCCCCAAATACAAGTCGATTTTAGAAACAAATTTTTCCGTTGTTACCCAGGCCTACTAATCACCTCTCAACAAAAGTTTGCTCTAGGCCCGTGATGGCGAACCTATGACACGCATGTCAGTACTGACACACGTAGCCATTTCTACTGACACGCGCCCGCCGGATATTATTTGTTTATTTATTTTATGCCATTTTAAAAAATAAATAGGAAAGAAATTATTATTTTGCAATGTTACCTAAATATTAAGTTGTTTCATATTTAAACTGAATGATAAATATTATTACTTTGCTATATTATTCAAATATTAAAATGCATTAAATTAAATGTCAAATTTAAAAATATTTAATTATTATTAAAATTTAGGTAACATTGCAAAATAATATTGGTTTATTTAATTATTAAGTAAACAAATATTATTTTGCATTGTTTCCTAAATATTAAAGAGTTACGTATTTAAATTAAATTAAATGAAAAATAATACTTTGCTATATTGCTCAAATATTTCAGAATGCCTTAAATGAAATGGTAAATTGAATTTTAATTTGACATTTAATTTAATGCATTTTAATTTAATGCATTTTAAGTATTTTTAATATATGCCTATATATATATATATATATATATATATATATATGCCTTAAATGAAATGGTAAATTAAATATCAAAATATTATTTTGCAATGTTACTTTATTGTTATTGCATTATTATTATTATTATTATTATTATTATTATTATTATTATTAGAAATACATTAAATAGCATATTAAATGCTAGAAATACATTTAAATAAAATTAAAATTAAATAATATTTTGTTGGGTTTTTAAAATTATATTTTTATTAAACACTCCAAAAAGGATATTATTTACATAAAGAGAGGTAGAACAACACAATAAGAGAGAAAGTGGGAATTACAATTATGTATTTTTTGTTATTTAAACTAAATATTGCGAAATTATGGTTTTTTTCTTGGACACACCACCTGAATTATGCTCAGTTTTTTGGCGAATTTTGACACACCACGCTCAAAAGGTTGCCCATCACTGCTCTAGGCACTGTCAAGCCATTATCTGCTAATCAAAGTTGTAAGTTGAAACATCCACACCTAGCTCCAGCAGACAAGAGTCCTTTGTCTCACCCTGGTCATTCCACAGATATTTAATCCCTTTTTCCTAATTCCAACAGACCTCACTACCTCTGAGGATGCTTGCCGTAGATGCAGGTGAAACATCAGGAGAAAATACCTCTAGACCATGGCCATATAGCCTGAAAAAAACCTACAACAACCCGGTGATTCCGGCCATGAAAGCCTTCGACAATACAGATCCATCATTGTTTGAGTGCACAGTGCTCTCTGGATGTAGGTGAACTACAACTCCCAAACTCAAGGTCAACGCCCAATAAACCCTTCCAGTATTTTCTGTTGGTCATGGGAGTCCTGTGTGCCAACTTTGGTTCTATTCCATCATTGGTAGAGTTCAGGATGCTCTTTGATTTTAGATGAAATATAAATCCCAGCAACTACAACTCCCAAAGGGCAAAATGAATTTTTGGAGTGATGGTCACTCGTTGGCCTGATAGGCGTATTGTGTCCAAATTTGGTGTCAAATCATCCAGTGGTGTTTGAGTTATGTTAATCCCACAAACAAACATTACTTTTTTTATTTAAATAGATTCAACTAATGAGGATGAAAAAAAAAACCCACCAGCATTCAGATCCATTTCAAAGGCTATCAGAAGGAAACAAGGAAAGTCTTCGGAGAGGACCAGAAAAGCTATGGCAACTTCTCATTGACCTACCTCCAAACAGGGATTGAGGCCCCTGGTTCTCCACTGGGACCAGAACAGCACCAGCAAAGAGAAGAACATCTGTGGGCAGAGGGCACCACCGCTGGGCATCTTCAAGCTCACAACATGAGGAAGAAAGGAGAAATAAACAGGAAAGAGAGATCGGGAATCCAGGAGACAAACACTTGCTTCGTCATGTAAGGCAGGCTAAGATCCTTGGAGAACGGGCAGGAGAAGGAAGTGCAACTGAAAAAGAAAGAAAAAAGCAAACCGGAGGTTGTCCCTGGTGCAAGATCTATGTTGCCTTCTGGTAAACAGAGGTCTAGAAAGGCATGCTGTAGTTGACTGCAGGGCAAGAGGAAGTTCAGTGTTGCCATATGAGTTCCTCTTTTTGGTCAGACGGACTTAAAACCGTACGTTATACAGAATTCTGTGATTCTGCCCTCTGTTGTATTTCTTTCTTTCTTTCTTTCTTTCTTTCTTTCTTTCTTTCTTTCTTTCTTTCCTTCTTTCTTTCTTTCTTTCTTTCTTGCCTCCTTCCCTCCCTTCCTTTCCAATTTGATTTGAGGAAAGCCAGTCATGTATGCAGTTCTTACTTCTGATGAGAGTACTTAGCACAGTGTTTTTCAACTTTCCGAATGCCGTGACTCCTTAATACAGTTCCTCATGTTGTGGTGACTCCCAACCATAACATTATTTTCGTTGCTACTTCATAACTGTCATTTTCCTACTGTCACGAATCGTAATGTCAGTATATGCAGGATGTATTTTCATTTACTGGACCAAATTTGGCACAAATACCCGATATGCCCAAATTTGAATACTGGTGGGTTTGGGAGGGAGATTGATTTTGTCATTTGGGAGTTGTAGTTGCTGAGATTTATAGTTCACCTACAATCAAAGAGCATTCTGAATTCCATCAATGATGGAATTGAACCCAACATGGCACACAGAACTCCTATGACCAACAAACAAACTGGGAGGATTTGTTGGGCATTAGCCTTGAGTTTGGGAGTTGTAGTTCACCTACATCCAGAGAGAACTGTGGACTCACACAAAGATGGATATGGACCAAACTTGGCACAAATACTCAATACGCTGTAATGTGAACACTGGTGGAGTTTGGGGGAAATAGAACATGACATTTGGCAGTTGTAGTTGCTGGGATTTATACTTCACCTACAATCAAAGAGCATTCTGAACCCCAACAATAGAATTGGGCCAAACTTCCTAAACAGAATGCCCATGACCAACAGAAAATACTGTGTTTCCTGATGGTCTTTGGTGACCCCTCTGTCACCCCTTCGCGACCCCTCCCAGAGGTCCCGACCCCCAGGTTGAGAAACGCTGACTTAGCAGGTCAACTGGATTCACCTACATGTTGACTCACTATCGATTAGGCTTCTACATTTTGGGTGAATCGCTATCCATTTCTGCTTGCTGGATACTGGAAGCCCACCATATTTGTTTTCAAGTGCTTCCTGAATGGGGGTTTTCATTCCGCATCCAAAAAAAATGGTTCTTCCAAGCTGCTGAATGGGCATTTTCATTCCACATCCAAAAAAAACCCCAGTTCTTTTTGGTCCATTAGTGGCAATGGGGAATTTATGGAGGCTCCTCTTTCCCCTGTTTTATATTCTGTGGCTTAGTACAATCTTTATGTTTTATATTTTGGACTATTAAAACAGCCAGAAAGTAAGTGCTGTTTTAATTAAACTGCTTGATACAAACTGGGTATTGGTTTGGTTCATCTCTACCTAAATAATGGCAGAGCCCTGGCATCGTGACACTGTGAAGGATGGAAGAGATCACAGAAAACAACTAGTCCAGCCCCTGCCATTTCAGGGAGGCACAAGGGTAGCACTAAAGAGAAGAAGGAGAATTTAATTTTGATTGTGCTTATAAGCAGATAAGAAATTTAGAGCAGAACTCCAAGAAACTAGGGCTAGACTCCCTTCTCAATTATGGAAACTCACTGGATAACCATGGGTGATCCACAAGCTTTGCCAGATAACACAATTACCGACTTCATAGAATCATAGAAGCAAAGAGTTGGAAGAGACCTCATGGGCCATCCAGTCCAACCCCCTGCCAAGAAGCAGGAATATTGCATTCAAAGCACCCCTGACAGATGGCCATCCAGCCTCTGTTTAAAAGTTTCCAAAGAGGGAGCCTCCACCACACTCCGGGCAGAGAGTTCCACTGCTGAACGGCTCTCACAGTCAGGAAGTTCTTCCTCATGTTCAGATGGAATCTCCTTTCTTGTAGTTTGAAGCCATTGTTCCAAGTCCTAGTCCCCAGGGAAGCCTCCCTCCTCCCTGTGGCTTCCTCTCACATATTTATACATGGCTATCATATCTCCTTCTCATCCTTCTCTTCTTCAGGCTAAACATGCCCAGCTCCTTAAGCCGCTCCTCATAGGGCTTGTTCTCCAGACCCTTGATCATTTTAGTCGCCCTCCTCTGGACACATTCCAGCTTGTCAATCTCTCTCTTGAATTGTGGTGCCCAGAATTGGACACAATATTCCAAGTGTGGTCTAACCAAAGCAGAATAGAGGAGCAGCATTTCTTCCCTGGACCTTGACACTATGCTCCTATTGATGCAGGCCAAAATCCCATTGGCTTTTTTTGCCGCCACATCACATTGTTGGCTCATGTTTAACTTGTTGTCCACGAGGACTCCAAGGTCTTTTTCACACGTACTGCTCTCAAGCCAGGCATCCCCATTCTGTATCTTTGCATTTCGTTTTTCCTGCCTAAGTGGAGTATCTTGCATTTGTCACTGTTGAACTTCATTTTGTTAGTTTTGGCCCATCTCTCTAATCTGTCAAGATCGTTTTGAATCCTACTCCTGTCCTCTGGAGTATTGGCTATCCCTCCCAATTTGTCGTCTGCAAACTTGATGATCATGCCTTCTAGCCCTTCATCTAAGTAAGTGCTGTTTTAATTAAACTGCTTGATACAAACTGGGTATTTTTTTGGTTCATCTCTACCTAAATAATGGCAGAGCCCTGGCATCGCAACACTGTGAAGGAGGGAAGAGATCACAGGGGACAACTAGTCCAGCCCCTGCCATTGCAGGGAGGCACAAGGGTAGCACTAAAGAGAAGAAGGGGAATTTAATTTTGATTGAGCTTATTATTTATTTATTTATTTTGTCGTGTCAGGAGTCGCTCCTGTTGTGAGAGAATTGGCCGTCTGCAAGGACGTTGCCCAGGGGACGTCCGGATGATTTGATGTTTTTATCATCCTTGTGGGAGGCTTCTCTCATGTCCCTGCATGAGAAGCTGGAGCTGATAGAGGGAGCTCATCCGCCCCTCCCCAGATTCGAAACTGCGAATAAGACTAAAGCACAGCACAACATGATGTTAATGTGGTGTTGTCCACAAAAGTCAAAATCAGATTTAGGGGACAGAGCTAATAAATGTCTCTAGCAAACAGAAATCCTTCCAGAACACAAAAACAAACCTGTGACATGTCGGTCTTCAGTCCTGCCGGCACAGGGCTTTAACTCACTGCGCCACCGGGGGCTCCAGATTGAGCTTATAAGCAGATAAGAAATCCAGAGCAGAACTCCAGGAAACTAGGGTTAGACTCCTTCTCCATTATGGAAACTCACTGGATAACCATGGGTGATCCACAAGCTTCACCAGAGAACACAATTATTTATTTATTTATTTCGTATACTTCTAGCCCGCCCTTCTCAACCCCCGAGGGGGGACTCAGGGTGGCTTACAAAAAGGCACATCTTGGTGCCTACACAAATACAATAACATATAAAACCAGCAATTAAATGGTCAACAATTAAAAACAATTAAAACAACAATATATCACACAGTCAATAGCCAATCTCAGACCCAGCGTTCGCCAACTCAGAGTTCATATTTCGTTCCACCTTGTCCAATTCCTATCCATCGTCACAGTCCTTTATTCATCTGCCAGATTGCCCAAACGCCTGGTCACACATCCATGTTTTTAATTTCTTTCTGAAGGAAAGAAAGGATGTTGCTGATCTAATCTCTCCGGGGAGTGAATTCCATAGGTGAGGGGCCACCACTGAGAAGGCCCTGCTCCTCGTCCTCGCCAATCTCACTTGTGACAGAGGTGGGGCCGAGAGCAGGGCCTCCCCAGAGCATCTCAGACTCCGAGATGGGACGTAAAGGGAGATGCGTTCGGACAGATACGCTGGGCCGGAACCGTATAGGGTTTTGTAGGTCAAAACCAGCACTTTGAATTGTGCTCGGAACTGGATCGGCAGCCAGTGGAGTTGGCATAACAGGGGGGTGGTATGCTCCCTGTATGACGCTCCAGTGAGCAATCTGGCTGCCTCCCGCTGGACTAATTGAAGTTTCCGAACAGTCTTCAAAGGCAACCTCACGTAGAGTGCGTTGCAGTAATCTATCCAGGATGTAACAAGAGCGTGGACCACCGACTTCCCTTGAATAATCATGTAAAGGAAATCCCATCATAGCTTCACTTCAAGTTCTCCCCAAGTCAATGGCAAACTGAAGACATACAGCAAGCAGCCAGCAAGCAAATCTACCTAAATTATTTTTCCGGAACAAATATGTGGATTAGGACACATCCTTGTCTCAGGTACCTTTTGATTTGAATCAAGATCCCCATTCCTGTTGTTTATTTCTTAAAGGCAGTATAGCTAATGAGTCTGAGAAACACCCCATGAACACATATAGTACTTTGAAAAACCCCACAGATGCTTCCAATCAGCAAGCAAGCAGCAATTACATTAAATGGAAGACAACAGGCCAAATGAAATGCAGTCAATTGGCTACCAGAGAATGCTCTCAGTAACTCTCAAGAGCATTGGTGCACGCTTTCACGCTTACAGAGCAGCATGTAGTAACTTTGCAACCACTTTGTTGAAGTGTCACCCCATTCCCAGTTGACTCTTGCTTGAATGCATGAATGCATGAATGGCCATGCAGGGAGGGAGCAGGGTCACATTGGGATACCACCATTTAGTGTCTGAATCTCAGGAGGAACCTCAGAGATATCATGTTTAGATTGTGATATTCCATATGCTTCCTCCAAATTTTTGCCCAGTACATGCTCCTAAACCAGTGGTTCTCAACCTTTCTAATGCCACAACCCCTTAATA